TTTGAAAAAGAGAGCTGCAATTGTATTGCAATACAAAAAAAAGAAAAGCTTACTATCTGTAGTCACAGTGTAGTATTAAAAAAAAAGTTTGGCGAATATTTTCGAAGGAACCAGTTTTCTGCTTCCGAAATTAAAACTTAAATAAATTTATTCAGACAGACTAATGTGGATTTTTATTGAGTGAAAAAAAAAAAAAAAAAAAAAAAAAACACGAAAGATTTTAAATATAGGTAACTGTAATACTCGGATTTAAATTTGCAAGCTCTATAATTATTGTCTGCTTCATGAATGAAAATAGTAGTAAAACATTCATCAGAAACGTGGTTAGGATCTACCTGCTTAAAAGGTCAAGTAAGGCTGGTACTAGATTTCTGCAAGTTTTACAAAATCACGTGTTGTACTTATTGTACATGTATCTCCCTTTGAAACAATGTTATGAAAGGTATCATTTTTAAGTTCGGTATATCGTCAAACGGCTGACTCCTTCAAGAAATTTTAAAACGAAGCCTTCAAAATAGGTTTGGTAACATTCACATATTTCGTTTCGGCACCATTTGTGTACAGAAAATGTCTTGTACGTAACAAACCAAGAGATAAAGAGATTCTTAAAGCACGGAACTTTTTTTTCATTTTCTAAAGGAAAATGTGAGAAGCAAAAAAAAAAAAAAAAGGCGTGGTTAAAACATGTGTTACATTTACAATTTACGGCGTAATTTGAAAAAGATGCATTTTTGCAGTTAGTTGCCTGCTACTTGCAAGTAGGCTGTTTTGTGGATATTTATTTAGTTTCCTCCTTAATGCTTTTTTAAAAAAAAAAAAAAAAAAAAAAAAATCACTAAGGCATTTTATTTTTAGTCCTCCATCCGAAAAAGGAAAAAAATATTCCAATTCCAAAATATAATGCGACGTCAAGCAATCTAAGGGAGATAATTAAGTTTCTTGATATGTATAAAAAAAATCAGTTATTTCGGACGCTAAACTCCACGATTCACGCGTTTTTTGCTTTTTGTTTGTTTTGTTTTTTAAGCGATGAATTTCAAGAGATTAAAACTGTGTCCACGTAAATAAAAAGCTCTTCAAAAAGGAATCTTACAAGAAAACAATCTGGTTTGCAATTACATTTTTAATGCAATAAATGGAAAGTTTAACACAGAAACACATTGTCCCCTATAGATGTCAGCGTGTCGGTGAAAACCGCATCTATTTTCGCTGAACTTTTAACAGGCTTAATTTAATAATAAATACCAAAGTGCGCACAATTAATGGACGTCAGTTGTGAGAGTCACATGTTAACTAAAAGAGAACGAAACACTTAAATTGTTCATTTTCTGTTTTTTTTTTTTTTCCTTCAAATCAATCACCCAATTAAATGTATCGAGCAAAAAAAGAAAATGCTATACGGTCGTATGCTCGAATATAGAACGATAAACGAACAAAGCTACCTTTCTTTCAATGTATTCGCAAAGGAAAATTTTGGACATGGTAAAACTAAAACAGAATTGATCTGGACGAAGAAAAATGTAAAGTCCACATCGTTTTCTCAGTGAGCCTCTGCTGCTACTTTTCTTATGAAAGCAGTTTTGATTGGGTTGTTAGGGAAACCATTCATCACACCTCACCACCAACAGAATAAGACAAAAAAATATTACACCTTCCTTATTTTAATTTAATCTAAGGTTTACTTCAGCAGAAATAAAATAGAATAATAATGTTGAAAACACTTTTTCTTTCTCTTTCACTTAATTCAAACAATTCCATTTGGTCCAACTAAGAAGAGTTTGCTGGTAGGTGGCATGAAAAACGATTTGGTCGTTAACACTAACAGTTAATACAATTTCCTTTTTTTTTTTTTTTTTTTTTGAGCACCAGTAATTTTTTTTTCTATGGAAAAAAAATCATTACCCATCATACACTTTGCTTGAACAGTTTGGTTTGTATTTGTCACCAGTATAAAATTAAGTAACTAAAGATCTCTGCATTAGAATAATAAATTTCGTTTTTCAGTCGAAAATTTTAAATTCCTATGTAAGATTTTTTTTTTTAAGTGTGGCGAAAATTGGAAATTTATTTCCGAGTAATTAAATGTTTAAAATACAAGAACTTTACATTTCTTCATTATTTAAAAATTAGGCTAAAATATAAATACTTTGAAAATTGTTAGCAACATTCAAAACGAAAAACGTCTTGCTTCGAAAAATAAATAATTGTTAACAATTAATTATTCGAATTATTTTCTGGTATTATTACTGTTGGACCAATGTTTATTCAAATTTCAAACAGAAAGAATATAACAATAAAAACATATCTCAAAAATTCCAATCACGCCACAGAAAAATGAATTCTGGTATTTTTGGTCAATCTAGCAAAAAAGTCTTTTTCTTAAAAAAAAAAAATTAAAATTAAATTAGGGAGTCTGTCTATATTTCTAATGTAAATAATGTAAATTAAATTTTATTTCTAATCGGAAGTTAATTCTGCAATCAAGGATTTTTTTTTTTATATATTAATTTTTCATTGTATGATCTGGCAAATGTCTTACATTTTGTAATTTAATTATTTCTTTCATCTTAATTCTCATTTTTGGCGGCATACAGGAAAAATGCACATACACAGAATTTCATAGTTGGAAAACAATAATCAAAAGAATTAAGCTAAAAAAGCAGAATTTCAAAAAAGCAAGATGTTTTAACTGCTTAATGCGAATTTAAATTTTAAAACAAAACATTCTCTTGTTTTTGTCGATTTTCTTATTCTTAAATACGCCGTCTAAGCAATATGAGATGCGGTAAAAATTGTTTTATTAGCAACAATTTTTACTTTACACTACAAATGTGAAATGCAACTTTAATGGTTAAAAAATAAAGAAAATGAGTTAAAAAAAAAAAAAAAAAAAGATGCCATTTTTTTTCTCATATTAGGACAAAAAAACCTATTTAAAATTTAACTGTTAAAACAAATAAGTTTTTAAAGGTCATAAGTGATCATTAGTAACTTAGTGATTAGTTTGTCACATTTCTTCATAAACAAAAAAAACTTTAATTTGATCACCGAATCTAAAAGTAATTAAAAAATTAAAAATAATGAACTTTTAAGAGATTGTGTAGTATTCATATTTATTTATTGCAATAATTTCTCAGTATGGTTAGGAAGAAATTGTACTAATAATCTGACGAATGATATTGTATTTCGCAATATGAAACATTGCGCTAGGGGAAAAATGTTACTTGAAAATAAAAAAAGTTATGTGATCATTGCAGCGTAAAAAATGTCACACCGAGTATTTTCAATTAATTTAAATTCAACAACCTTATGATTATTAATATGTTTAAAATTTTGAGAGAGAGGATGAGTTTCATTATCTTATTTGTGTCAAAGAACCGTTAATAAAACAAACAGTTAATAAATTAATAAAATTATTATACATTTTTTGCTTAAAAAAAAAAAAAAAAAAAAAGTTACGAGGTGATAAGTCAAACAAAAATAATAACCAAAATAAGATTAATTACTGTCAAAAATAATCTCGCCAATTAATTAAAATACAAGCAACTTTTCTCTTGTGACCTTTTTGTCAATAACACAGGGAAATAATTTCGATTTATTAGCAATTTTTTGACAAGGGTAAACAAACGAGAATTGAAGGGGGAAATTAGTTATAGATTCAATAATGATGTCCACAAAGTACACATTTTATTTTAATATTTTGTTTATAAATTATTTTTATTCTACCAATAAAAAGAAGTAAATACTTTTTAGCTGAACTTATATAACAATTTTACTTTTTTGTAGTTTATGCTTTTACACTCGTTAAGAACTTCTTGCCAGTATTTACCAAAATTAGAATTTTTTTTCTAAACAAGAAATAAATATTTAATTGCATCGCTTTTAGGAACATAGGCAAAAGGTGCGCCAGTCACGTGATCACTTTATCGTGTGCCATACTGAAGACAAGCAAGATGATCCTTCTTTAAACGTTTTTTAATGTAGTTCTATAATATTCAAAATAGGACTTCATTTATTTCACATTGTTTTTGAGAGGAAAGAGTTTGTTTTTCTTTTTGAAATAACATTTCAAAATTGCTTATGGTGGAAAAAAGTGAACCTATCTCGTTCTAGATTTAGATTTACAGAGAAAAGTGAAAACAAAAAAATATTTAATGAAGGTTATGATGCTTAGCTTACCAATTTAGGGGAAAAGAAAAATATATTTTTAAAATGCATGTAGGACATAATTATTCACCAGAATCAAAAACTTAATATAATGTCGTTTTAAATTCGTAGGTAAAAATTTAATCTACACTACACATCAATAATTCAATTGCTAGTATTAAAAAGTATAAAATATTTTACTTGAAGAAAAAAAAAAAACAGACTACAAAGTGACTATAGTGAATTATTTACATTCGTACTTCATTCAGGATTTTCTTTACAAGAGAGACAGTTTAATTCACTGAAATTATTTAAATAATAAAAAATATATATATCATAGAAAATAAACTAAACACTAAGTACTTTCATTTTCAAATATGGATCAAATTCATTCATTCAGTTAGACCATAGATTTGCGTAGAAATGCAAATACACATTTCCTAATAAAAAAAGTGAATGAAATATTCGTTAAATAATCTTATTTAATCCACTGTTAATCTTTTACAGGTCTACATCCATGCTGTGATTAAATATTTGTTTGATAGACGACCAATTTAATAAAGCATCCGTTTTTGTAAATAAAATATCAATAGAAAGAGGACATTAAAAGACGTAGTAAAACACATTTATGATGTGTGTACACATTTACACAATAACACTAAGTTAACATTTCATCGTATGATTGAGGAAAATGAATGATGAAATCACTGCAGTTACGAAATAAAAAGAGAAACGAATAAAAACTAAAAACGTCGAGAAGAGAAAATGGAAAGCAAAACGAGTAAAAAAAAAAACTGACATTAAAAAAGAAATCGAAGCCGGTAAACTGCATAAAAATGACTTTCTTCACCTACCTTCTTTTTAAAAAAAAATCGTAGATTAGAAAAAAAAAATCAATTAATCCACTCCTTCCTTTTCAGTTCTTCTCCTTTTAATTTTTTCAACGATATTATGTCCTTCTTGCTTAGTGAAATAGTAGCAGTAAAAACCTGAGGGTCAGTACTTATAAGTAGCGTATTTTACTACTACTATTCATAGTGTAATAGTAGTAAAAGAAAAGCACTACCACTAATACTGTTCTTTATTCTTACCAGTAGTAGTAGTAGATAAGAAAACTATAAAATAAAAATATTTAAAATGCTTCTTTTTTCTTCTTTCGTTTTCTTTATAAGTTAAACCACTAAATTAGTAACCAAAGCTGCCTTATAAGAGATCAATGGTCGCCTTTTCATTTAGCTAGATTGTTATTTAGAAAATAAGCTGTTTTTTTTTTTCATGACGGTTGCCCATCTGCTTCCCTTTTCAAGGAACGGGTAGAGTGAGGATTGGTGATGACGTCACTGCACGACACAATCAGCGTGGATATGGGTGCTAAGGAGAAAACCAAGAACGATAACTCTGATGGGAAATACGTTATTCATGGAGTGAGGGGAGAACATAATTAACCAATCAGTGTGAAAGGCTGATCCTCAACAGCCAATCAAAATATTTGCCGGCAATTAAGGTCAAGGCCATAAAAGCGGGATTTCTAACTGACCTTTTTATTCAATAAAATTAAAAAGCATGTATTTCTTTTTCTGTGTGTGCACATTAAAACTACTTGTCAGGCGTCAAATTTCAATGTACCCATATTTATATTTGTTGTCTAATGTTTCAGTATTAGTTTTTTTCTAAAATTTCAATGAATGGCTTTAAGATTTTTTAAGTAATTAAGAAAACTTTTCCGTGAAGGGCAAAGTTCAGAGTTATTGCTACAATATGTGCTCCTTATTTTTCGATTATAGTTCAATATTTATGCATAAATCCAGTTTTTAAAGTTTTATAAAGTTTAAACATTGTCTTAACAATTTTTTAATGATAAATATTTTAAACGAGTGTAACTCTAACTCTCTATCCCATCTAGTTGACTTAAAACTGCTAAAAAATAAGATGAATATTAATCTCATTTTAAAAATTACAGTATTTTATGTTTAAATGTTGTTTTTTTCCACAAAAGAATTAATATTGCTGGAAAAATAATTTTCTTTGCGAAAAATACAGTAACATTTTAATTTTTTAAAGTTTATCGTGCTGCAACCTAAAAATTCAACTCACAATAACGAGCAATCATGCCATGTGATACAATATTTCACATCGTACCCACCACAAAAATAATATCCGCTCGCACACATCACAACAGAATGCGACACAAGACCGAAGTTTGATGTGGGATTTCGGAAACGCCGTACAAAAATTGCGCATGCTCCCTTTTTAGGGATGCCTGAGGCGTTGGGTAATGATTCCAGCCCTCTCCCGAAGGATAAGTACTGCATGGGTCTTAGTCTTCAGCTAATTAATATTAATTTCAACTTCCCCGCCACAGTGCCAGATCGGAATTTATTTAAACAATTATTATGTAACTTTTTCGTTTGTGTTCGTAAAATTCGCTAATAATACCGTGCACATGCGCCGATCACTTTTTTTAAAAAAAGAAACACAAAATTTGACCAGTTAAATTATAAATTATTTTTGAAACTGAAAAAAAGAAAAGGTTTTCATAGCGAAGAAGAAAACTGAAATTTTAATTTTAAGGATATCGGAAGCAAACTTAATAACAATATGTTAACAAAAAGGGTCCAAAGAAAATAATTAAATTATATGGCCGAATTTTCACAATATTAGTTACATTTTTCTTGTTTATAATTTTTCGAGTTCTTCAAGATTAGCATCTGACACTAAAAACAGGTTCACGCATTTAAAAAAATATGGAATATTTTTTTCATATTTTTTAAGATTTTTACCATTTTTTTTTAAAAATTTTTTTACCTTCTTTAGGCCGCAACATTTGTCAGAATCGAAAAATATTGATTAGTCATCGATTTAGAAGGGGGTCCTCTTCACAATACTGGTGCAGTTTAAAATCGACCTGACATTTGAGTAAATCAAGAGTTTGAAATTGTCACGTTTGAAACAACAAAAGAAGAAATAGAAATTTGAGTTTTATTTTAATTAAAATATCCAAACCATAAGAATTATTTTACGAAATAGAATTTTTTTTTTTGTTACTTTTTTAACAAAGACTTGTCACTAAAGAAAGAACAATCACATATCATCAGATTCTTGCCAAAAGTACAAAACTTGGTTCTACTACAGAAGGACAAATTCTTCAACTATTTAAGAAGACTAAGTGTAGTTAATATTAGGGTAGAGGGGGGGTTTCAAATTTAAGTCTAAATAATTAGCATCCTAATGTTTAAAAAACATTTTTAAAAATTTTTAGATTCTGAAAATCAAAAAATAAATAGTTCGGGGATATCAATGACGTAAGTATAATTTCACACGCGACATTACCAAAGAAACTGTTTATTTGGGGATCGATTTTTTAAACTATGAACAGGACCCTATTTCTACATCGGTATCAATAATTTTCGATTCTGACAAGCATCGAAGCTTAAAGAAAGTCTCTAAAGAATGCTAATCTGCATAAAATTATTTTTTAAAATTCTCTATTTTTTACGAGTGGACCAGTTACTTAAGTTGTGTCGGATATATTTTTAAAATCTTGTTGGTGTTCACTCCGTCAAAAAGGTAAAAAAATCACCACCGAGTGCTCGCATTCACTGTTCAATTTGCCTAGTTAAGTCATTAGTACAACCATTGCTATTCTAATGCGTCAATAGTGCGTACACACAGTTTCCCCAGAAGCCCAATTAATCAAGGTGGCCAGGGGAGCGAACTAGGGAAAAGCAATTCACTTCCAACACACTAGAACGCCCTATCTAGAGTCTCTTGCGTTGTTAGATTGTTTCTCTTCTACAAACCCCACCCTAATCTCCTGATCACAGCACCAACAATTAAGGGTTGACCGTTTGCGTCTGATGCTTTTTCGCAGGAGAGGTATTTTACCCTCACCTTCATCACCGTCTGCCTCGACAAATGTCGGAGGCTAGTTGAATGTGCGTGGATTTGTTCTCATTCGTGGATGAGTCTTCGGCTTCACTCTCCACCGAAAGTTGATACCACCTCAATCGAAGGTCTCGAATGTTTCGCAGGATATTGTCGACTAAGATGGGCTGTAGACTGAAGATTTCGGTCACTTTTCGTGTCACAAAACAGATGGTACATCGGCTCTGGAACGGTTTTATCCACATTACGTCTCCTATTTTGTACATCCCATACTCTCTTGTAGATTTGTGGAAAATAATGTGTCAGTGTTTTTCAGTCTAACCTCGCACGAGTAGATTGTGTTGGCGGGTGCAGTTGGGCTCAAGGTACTATCTATCGGTGTTAGATTGTGCTACTTAAACTATTTCCAATATTGAGCACGCTTCCTCGCGGCGATCCGTTTAACGCTCCTATAACGCCTTTCTATGATCCCGTTTCTTCATGGGACGCATGTGCATCAAAAGCATAGCTAGATGCCCTATTCCTCCACGAAGGCCCTGAATGCCCTGTTGATAACTGCTGTATCATTGTAAAAAAAAAATTGCAAAAAACACGAAAATAAAAATATTTAAAATTTTTATATTTAAACTTTTTTCTCCTTTTTCTTTGCTGCTCCATATACTTTTGCCTTAAACTATATAAAAAGTAGCGATTTCTCATTTAAAAATGACCCCAGGAAAATTTTTGAGGCCCTTTGGAGTGTGAGGTCTTAGACTATAGCTTTTTAACTTATGCATAAATCGTGTTTGCTGACAAATGACAATTCATAAACATTTATCATTTTTGTATGTTTTTCAGTTATTTATTTCTTATTTTTTAAAATGAATTTCCACATCTATTGTACACCCACTTACACTTAATTTGCTAAAGTTTTTCTCATTTTCAACGCATAGCATACAGACTGAGATACCGAATGAAATGACTAAAAGCAATTTTAAGCAACAAAAATACAAAATCACGTATTTAATTATCAATTCTTTTCCTACTGACATAAAACTGTAGTTGACGCTAAAATACAACTTTACTTTTTTTTTCTTTACCGACAGAATGTTATTGTCATTATATGAGCATATATATGACATTTTTCACGTATTGGTTTAAATTTTACGCGCAACTTTCTAACATCTATGCCCAAATTCGCATGCGTATTTTTCTAGGGTACAATCTACATCTTCCCATGATACACCATGGAAAAAGAAAAACTGCATAGTGCAGACTGCTTCAGTGAAAATCATATCTGTTCATGTGTTTATACTGTTAAATGATAAATAATAAAGAAAATGATTTTATGTTCAGGCGTTTCTGAACTAGCGATATTTCAATCTGTGCTTAACCACTGAGCTACCAGATGATGCTTTAAAGTTTATAAATTAATTTCAAGAATACACCACACGCATCCATTCAAACCTTTAGACTTCTCTTATTTACTCGATGCGAGAATGCTTTTGTGCACCAACTTCGAATACATAGTATGAAAATTTTCTTTCGTAAAAAAGCTAACGAAAATTATTTAGACATACGTTTAGGGAAAAGTTGCTTTTCAGATAGGACAGTTTTAAAGTGTATTTTTGACGAAGACATTTCACACCTTCAAGTCAACCCTTTTCAGGACCCAGCGTAAAAAAAAGGGGGGAGGGAAGAGGGTGAGACAATAAAATCTCTTATCATTCCCTTTACAAGTGTTTTTTTTTGTTTTGTTTTTGTTTTGTTTTTTTATTTTTGTTTTGTTTTTTATCCTTTCACCCCAAGCAAGGCAATAAAGCCAAGGGGGTTACTGAGGGCGAGAGAATATGAGAGAAAAAAATCACTGTTAATGAAAGAGAAGATAACGATTGGCATTACATTTAAATTTTTGAAGTTCAAAGTTGACTGAAAAGTAAGAAGCTGGAATAGACTTCCACAAGTGAGAAAAGAACATGTTAGCATAGAACTTATGGTTACATCTCGCCATTTCAACTGTAAAATGATGAGACCGTATTGCTCTTAAATTTATAAAGTCGAAGTACCAAAGAAAAAAGTTCATCAGAACAATTACCATAAAAATATTTATGGTAAAGACACAGAGAAGCTACGTTCGGCTGGTAGGGAAGTGACTGAAGCCGAGATACCACGTCAGGACCAATAACATTGCAGATGCTTCTTTATATTTTATCTAGAATCTCTAAATGCCCAGACCAGATTTGGCAGAAATATCCAAAGCATGGACCAATGATAGAATTATAAATAAGCATGATAGATTCAGGCGAGAAAAAATCGCCCAGCACGACACAGTGAACCAACTTTCGTAACAGCAGACCTAGCAATTGATTTAATATAATCTTTTCACTTTATGTCAACGGAAAACGTTAGCTCATGAAGGCGCAATAAGTCACTCTCGTGGATGTTAACATCAGGCATCAGAAGTTAAAAGGTGTTCTCTCAGACGATTAAAAGCGAGTACTTTCGCATTTGAGGCGTTAAAATTAACTTAAGTCATTCCTTTCCCAAGTTAACAACACATTGTAGGTCATTTTCT